GACTTATCAAGGTAATTAACTTTTCGGTATGTTCACATCTGGGTAACTATCTTTTTTTGTACATATGTAGGTAACAAACTTTTTGGGAGTGTTCACATATGACCATTATGACCTGCTATAGCAGGTTAAATCCTAAATGTGAACGCTTTCAACAAGTTTGTTACCTAGATGTGTACAAAAAAAATAGTTACCCAAATATGAACAAAACGAAAAGTAAAAATTAAATTACATGAATGGTCCCTGTAGTTTGGGGGAATTTGTGGTTTTGGTCTCTAAGTTATTTTTTTAAACTTAAATGGTTCCTATTGTTTATTTTTGTTGCGCGTTTGGTCCCCATCTTACCTAAAAATACTATTGTGACCTTATTAATTTATTTTTTTTAATTAATTTTCTTATCTATGTTTATTTTTTACATATTTATAAAAATTAATATACCACACATATTTGTATCTCCTCGGATGATCCCTACTATTTATTTTTTAATTAATTTAATTTTTTAACTCGGATGGTCCCTACTATTTAATTTTGTTACGAACTTGGTCTCTGTCTTACCTAAAAAGACTATTGTGCCCTTATTAATTTTTTTAATTAATTTTCTTGTTTATGTACTTATGCTTTATATGTTTAAGAAAAATTAGTAGACCTCACATATCTGTATCTCCTCACCATCCCATCTTTCATCATTCTCAACTTCTATTTATTTTTCATCTTTAGTGATATCGACGTCTTCATCATCACTTCTTTTTTCGGTCCTTCAACTCCGTCGAAACAACACCACAACCCACTAAATATGAAGAGACAGTAGGTTATGGTGTTGGTTCTCCAGAGTTGAAGTACCAAAAAAAAGGACGGTGAAGACGTTGATGTTACTAAAGATGGAAAAGAAATAGAAGATGGGGAGGATCAGAGATGAGATGGTGAATGGTAAGACTCAAATTAAATTTCTCAAATGTGATTTACATATAGGTTTTATAAAAAATAAATACATAAATAAGAAAATTAATTTAAAAAATTAATAAGGGAAAAATAGTATTTTTAGATAAGACAGAGACCAAACGCGTAACAAAAATAAACAGTAAGAATCAACCAAGTTAAAAAAAAATTAATTAAAAATAAACAGTAGAGATCATCCGAGGAGATAAAAATATGTGTGGTCTATTAATTTTTTTAAATATGTATAAAATAAATACATAGATAAGAAAATTAATTAAAAAAATAAATTAATAAGGGCACAATAGTATTTTTAGGTAAGACGGGGACCAAACGCGCAACAAAAATAAATAGTAAGGACCATTTAAGTTAAAAAAATAAATTAGGGACCAAAACCACAAATTCCCCCAAACCACAGGGACCATTCATGTAATTTAATTTTTAATTTTCATTTTGTTCATATTTGAGTAATTATTTTTTTTTGTACGCATCACGGTAACAAACTTGTTGAAAGAGTTCACATCTAGGATTTAACCTGCTATAGCAGATCATAATGATCATATGTGAACACTTCCAAAAAGTTTGTTACCTACATATGTACAAAAAAAAGATAGTTACCCAGATGTGAACATACCGAAAAGTTAATTACCTTGATAAGTCATATTCCCAACAAAATATAATGAAGATCAATATAGTCGACATAGCAAAAATATATAAATAAAAAGTTAAAAACAAAAACTATACAAAAACCATTACATGTTTACATTCTTTTTATGTATTTAACCACTTTTTCTTTTATTTTCCATTAAGTTAACTCGAAGTCTTTGGATCAACAGTCACGAGTCTTGCTGGTCATGTTTTTTTGTATAAGACCCACACCCAACCAACTCCCCCTCCGCCTTTCCATACACAATTACACACCCTCCGTCACCTCCTCATCCTCTTCATTCCCTTGTATCTTTCTCTCTCACTACGTTCCAGTTTTAGGGTTCTTAAGCTTCTCATTTACCTGCGGAAGAAGAATTGCAGATTGTTAATGGAGGAGTGAGTAGTCTCTCCCCCATCCCCCCTCTCTCTACCTCTCTCTGTCTGCTTTCTAAACATATACCCGTACAAATAAGCTATCATGGCGACGGTGCCCACGAAGAATCAGCAACGACTGCATAATTTCTCGCTTCCATTCCTAAAATGGGGACAGAGAACCCAAATCAACAACAACTGCCGCCGCCGCTACCGCAACTTTCCTCTCACCGACTCAGACCTCAATAATGACCGTAAACCTCATCGGTTTCATAATCGGGAGAGTAAAGACACAAAAACGAAAGATGAGGAAGAAAACGGGGGAGTTTTGTTGGATAGAGGCGATAACACCGGGAAATCATCGGATGTGGCTGCGGCAGCTGATGGAGACGTTAAGCCGTGGAATCTGAGGCCGAGGAGGTTCGTGATCAATACTATTGATGGTAATGGTGCGGTTATGGGGGTGAATAGTGCAAAGTCAGGGTGGTTATTGAGAGGTGGTGCGTCGGCGGCGGCGGCGGATGAGGAGAAGATTAAGGAGAAGGAGAAGGAGAAGGAAGAGGATCAGATGAAGAAGAAGAGGAGATTATGGATCTCGTTGTCGAAGGAAGAGATTGAAGAAGATGTATACGCGTTTACTGGATCAAAACCAGCCCGAAGGCCTAAGAAAAGGAACAAAACCGCGCAGAAACAAGTCGATGTATGTCTGTTGCTCCAGAGCTCATAAATTTCAAAATCTTCTTCTTCCTCGACCGATTATCTTCATTGTTCAATGATTAATTGATTATCCGTTTCAAATTGCAGAATGTTTTTCCTGGGCTATACTTGGTTGGAATTTCAGCTGATTCATATCGAGTTTAAACTTCACAGTTCATACTATTAAGGTATAATCTTTCATCATATCGCCATTTCTCAGCATCCATGAGATGTAATTTCTTCTCTCTGAGTGGATTTCATAAATCTGTTCTTGGGTGTTTCTGATTGCTTTCATCTGTTGCAGAAGCAGAGACTAGAGAGTAGAGACAGATGAAATTGATCAAATCACAATCTACTTGGAAGAGAAAAGAAGCCTCAGTTCGAGGTATAATCTATAATGTAGTAATTATATAATAAAAATGGTTGATTTGAGTCTATGATTTCAAACATAAAAGTTTGTATGATACATATGAATGTAAAGGGTTCAGGTTATTAGTTTGTTAAATCTTTGAAGCTCATTGTTCTCTGAATGGAAGTCCATGTTTGATTTTGATTCTTGTTTTCTGCCAAATAATTTGATAATCTTTGTGTTTTACTATGTGTATGATAGAAAATTAAATATCTTTCCTTTTGAATTTTGATAATGCCATCATTCATAAAGAAAATTATTGAAATGTGGTTTTACTTCAATTTTTATGTTACAATCATGTTTCAAGTCAGATAGAGTGATCATCAATGGAACACAATGAAGAACAATCTAGTAAGTTCTTCTACTACAAATCTACAATAAATACTTTTTGCATACATTTTTAGAGTTAAATGCAAGAAATAGAAATGTACTTTTGTTGATTTGTTTATTATAGCATTTTACTTTCATTTTTTTGAATTATAACTACTTTAGAAAAATATATCTAATTATAGAATGCCATTTAAATTCTAATCAATTTTCTTTGTTATAATAATTAAAAAAATGAAAATACAATGCTATTTCTTGCATTTAACCCTAATTTTTTATTCCATTAGTACATATCTGAATCTTGAGAGCACTTGTCCCTCCTCTATAAAACCATGTCATGTCACATCCATTATATACATTTTGTTTTTTTTTTTTTTAATAATTTATTTGAAGTTTATAACATGGACCCGTTATCAATTTTTTGTTTGTTTCGTAATTATTATTTAAAATAAATTTATTTACTTGTTTTTAACCAATAACAATGTTTTTAAATTATACAAAAAAATATCTAGTAAAGTAGCGACTATATTATTCTGTAAGAGTCAGTACCATTGTACATAAATATTAAGTTTAAGGATCTGTTTTTTTTTTTTTTTTTTTTTTTTTTTTTTTTTTTTTTTTTTTTTTTACAATTAAAACAGCATAATTTCTTATGTTATGAGTCATTACTCCAATATTCTTCCAACTCCAACTACATACAAAAAACATCAAGTCAAAATATACATTAATATTTAATTGATGAAAAACATTTTTTATTATAACAAGTTTAAATAAAATAGAGTAGATATAATTTGTAATTAGTTGTTTCGTAATTCGTAAGACATAGGTTGTGAAAACTTGTTATAAATAATGTGATTTATTTTTGAAAAACTTATAATTTTTTTTTTTGGAACGGCGAGCAAAATTCATTAGTTCAAAGTAACAAAAGACTTAAAGCGAGGAACTCAAATCAATTACAAGAAAATATTTGAAATATGTGAAATAGGAGACATAGATCAGATATACCAATCAAGGTTATGCGACTTAGCTTTATTTTTTATCCAATTAAAAATGCTAATAGGAGTAAGCATTTGGATCGGATCGGACGGACTCTTGGACCGGACCATTTTTGGAGAATATTGTGGACGGTTAACCGGACAGGATGATAATTAACGGGTCCAGGTCCATGTTCGGGTCCGGGTATGGGTTTTCCGGTTCTTGGATTCATTTGGACCGGTACAACTTTATATGTATATAGTGCAACTTGTTAAAACGTATTTTTGGGTTTGATTCAATTCGTTAAAACGAATATTTTGTTGAGTTTGATACGTTACAATTCGTTAAAATGAATATTTTTTGGGCTTGATGCGATACAACTCGTAAAAATGAATACATTTTCGTTTATTGTGTCCTTTGGACCGGTCAAACTTGATTATTTATATTTTATACCATTTGTTTGAAGGATTGTAACTCATTAAATGTAACACCAAAAACAACATAATAATAGTCTAAAATCATCTACAAACTTTAAATTACACGTTGGAAAAAACCGTACGTTAATCCGATTTAAAACAATGAAATATACTTGTTTAAAGAATTTTACTAAATACAATTTTTTTTAAAAAAATAAGCCGGTCTAAAACCGGTTTTTACCCGGAACCGGCCCGACCGGACCTTACTCGACCGATTTTGCTGAAATCCTAGAACCGAGAACCAGATCGGGGGTCCAAAAAAACGGTCTGGTCTACAGGTCCAAATGCTAACCCTTGAGTGCTAATACTAATACAATTAGCTATAAACCTTTCGTTCCCGAAGACAACTATATTCCGGGCTTTCAAAATTACCCATAGAGTCGAGTAGATAAGCGATAACTTCAGCTTCTTAATTTTTTTACTATCAACCCTCGAACTCAGCATGTTAAGTAGATCAGAGCAAGAGCAAGGTTGCGTTTGAAGGATTTTAGACCATTCCATCAACCATTTTCATTGATCGAAGCTACATGATGGTTGTCGAGGCCAACAAAATAAATACCATAAATATTACACATTAAAATAATGTATAGCGGTAAAAGGATCGTATCCACGAAGATTGATTCAATTTAAATCTCTATGTAAATCACTTGTTCAAGTACTTATCAAACAATGGTAAAAGTAAAAAAAAAAAAAGGGGTGGGGGGTGGGGGGTTAAATCTTTTTGATTGCTTGAGGGAATTAAAACTAAGCTAGAATGGACATATAACAAGTAAATGATTTGATTAAATTCAATGAAGTGAAGGTCGTTGATTTTGGGATACACCACATGGATGACATAGTTGACATATCATTAGACTAAATGGAACAACACTTGTGAATTAATTTAACTTGGCTATAACAATTCATAAGCACAAATTACCTCAACTCTTCACTGTTATAAAAATGGTTAGAGGAGCTCTTCACACATTTTCTTAATTAAAGTTACAAAATCAATGAAAATCAATTAGGTTTAAGCTCTAAAAGTTACGAAGTCCAAAAGATAATCAAATGCTTACATTATCATTATGGAGGAAACATTTCCATGGTTTAAATGAAATGAAAAAAACATATAAACCATTTGTTGCTTACTAATTTTAGGGTCCATTACTTAACCAAGAAATTAGTCAACAAAGATAAGCATTCATTCATCAAAGCTCATGGTCGAAGATAAATAAACACAATAATATGTTTGACTAGAAATTTTTTTCCATAAATTTCAAACACAAGATAATATGAAGTCTTCAAAGCAACTAATCATCCATGGGTTAAACCCTAATCAACCAAATGTGAGTCTAGCCAAGCATGACCAAAATAAAAGAAATACAAGATAGTTTAGAGGTACCAAACATTGTTCTAGTTGCAAGATGAAAAGAAATTACACCAATCTTCTAAATCTTCAAATTCATCCAAAGCCTTCTTAAGAGCAAAATGAATGGTTCTTGAAAGTGTTAATGATGAACTCCATTCAAAATCCTCAGTAAAAAGGAGCCCAATTCCGGATCTAAAAGTTAGCCAAAAGCAATCCACCAACCTTCCCAAAGTAGAGACAAAAGCCAAAAGTCTGGATTCTTCACAACACGATCCACGCGGTCAAGGTTTAGAGTACACACGTCCAAGGATTATATTTTGCAAAGATGACGCGGACCTCCTAGACGGGTACACTCGGACCCTTTGTGGCTCACGCGGAAGAAACTTAGAGTACATGCAGAGCATTTGTGAATCCACGCGGAGCGCGTGGGTCTTGCTGATTGTGTGTCTTGTCCCATTTAATTTACAAACCAACCCAATCTTTCCATTAACATCCCAACCCATATGCATCAATTCTTGGGAGCCCAATTATGTTTTTCCAAAGTCTTCAATGATGATCCAATGCTTCTTTAGTCTTCCTTAACTCGAGTCCTTGTCGTCTCGTCCAAAAATTAAGTCCAACACGCTTCTTGCTTATATTGACACCAAGCCCAATTGCACCACTTCAAGTCCACGAACAAATCTCAAGCCTTCAATAGTCATGCACTCCTTCTATACCTCCAATAACAAATAGTCTTCGGTAAATTCTGCAAATAAGCTCAAAAGATTGGAAAACACCCAGTAAAGGAGAAAAATAACAAAAAAAGAAAATATG